TTGCTTGTAGAGAACTGTGAGAGTTGTATAATAGTTCAGAAATACAGATAGGTATTTCATAATTCTACTTGCTCTATTTCAAGCTTAGAAAAACTGAAAATATTCCCCAAAGGAGAAGAAAAAGAAGCTCTAACGAAATTATGAACCCAGGAATTTTGGTAGGCTGACCCTTCCACTTTGGCCTCATTAGTAATTATAAATATATAAAAAATCATGAAAGCATTAACCAAAGTACAGGAATTCTCTTGTCAAGGAATTTCAATAAATTCTACTCGATCAGGATGAGAATTAACTTCTAGCTAAGGTTGTTAAACATTAAATCCTGAGATGAAAACACATATTCAGCAAGTAGTCCTCAGCTTAGGGGTTATTAAATTCTTACCTGACGGTTGTATTAGCACAAAACAAAGAGCAGTATGTGCCTTTGCTCCTTCATAATACTCTACTCATCTCCTAGTATATGGATTGATGATTCACAAATATATTTAGAAAATTGGTTCTGAATTTCATTGACCAAGCTGATCTCAGACTCCCAAGGCAGAAGCTCCAGCAGGGAAGCTGTGACTTAGCTGTGGTGTTCTTTTGTGATTTGCTCGTCTTGTAGCTTGAAGACAGCACCACCACCAGGTACATTTTATGAGACACCTGATGCTGTAAATGTGTACTTTGCATGTGTGATATATAATGCAGAGCCTCTCAGAGCACTGCAGTAGACCTGGAGTTAAGAAATCAAGCAGAAGAGCTTGTACCATACAAGCCTGCATAGATTGTTACTTACTGCCGAAAGAAGAACTTGTGTTCAAGAAAACTTTAGAAAAAAGGAAAAAAGGAAACTTGCAAAGTTTTGTTGCTTTCAAGATCAGATAAACCAGAAAAAGGTCAGGATTGTAGTTACAATTTTAGAGCTAACTCTGCCTTCCTCTCAATTTTGGCGTTTGTGGCTTTCAGTGTTCTAGAAAACTGAAAGGAAAAGGGTAGATTTGATCTTGTGCGTACAAAAGTCTTGTTTTATCATCTCCAATTTTTAAAGAGAAAGCAGACACTGTAATATTCAAGTGTAGGTAACAAATCTACTGTTAAATTTTCCAGTGTTGCAAAGAAACTGTTTTGATCAATATTTTAATTTGACTTGGGCAGGATTGGGTAGAGAGCTCAGCAGATTATTGTCATAAACTCCATACGTCATTTTGGAAGTAGCATTCAAATCTATGCAGTTTGGCACTAACACAGACTTATTTTCCTGCATTTTTGTGCCAAAAGAAATAGGGAATGGAGAATACTTTTTCTAATTATTTTCAGATTTTATTAACCAATGTCAGACCTGCTTAGCCTGTGGTTGCTCTATCTCTAAATCATTGATGTTTTACAATTTTTTATCAGAAAAACTACAGTCAGTTATCAAACAGCAGTGATCTAAATGGCTAATCATTAGCATTGTTGGACAACTTAATTAGAAGAATCTGTACATTTTGTTGATACTGCTATTGGCCAGTGGTGAGTCTGAGTGAAATGATTGTGCCTAAATTACAAGCTTTTTGAGAAGAGAGAAATTCAGAAGACATAAGCACCAAGTTTTCATTCTTAAAATTATTTAAATAAAACTTAGTCTTATTTTTGTAGCACTTTTGATTTTTTTAATGGGGGAACATTTCCTTACTGTACATTTATGTGAAGAGAAGGAAAGTTGTATTGTCCACAGAAACTCTTCCCCAGCCACTGTCCACCTCATCCATTGCCTTAGTCTATACAGTAATGTGTTGGCAGGGTTGACCCTCATCTGGACAGGGAGGAGAAAATACAACTGAAGGCTCCTGGGTTGGGATAAGGACAGGGAGGGATCACCCAGCAGTTACTATCATGAGCAAAACAGGCTTGACTTGGGGAGATCAGTTTAATTTCTTACCAGTCAAATCAGAGCAGGATAGTGAGAAATAGAAACCAGATTTTAAAAACACACTTATCCTTCTTCTTGAAATAGAACTTTACTCCAGAATTCTCTTCCTCCTCCCTCCAGTGGCAGGAGGGGGATGAATGGGAGTCATGATCAGTTCTTCACCTATTGTCTCTGCTGTTCCGTCCTCCTTAGTGAGAGGACTCCTCACACACTCTTCTCCCCTCCAGGGGCTGCATATGGATTTCTGAAAGCATACTGGCCCCAGGAGATGTTTCTGCAATTCCATACCTGTTTAATTAGAACATTCTGGAGCTAATGATATGTTGTCTTCATAAATACTTCTTAAGTAAGGCTAAAAGTTACCTCTGACAGATATTAGATATTCTCTGAAAGAAATTAAGTAGGAACAGAAAAGGATTGAGTACCAAACAAAAGTCAGGAGCTTCTTGCTTACACTGTCTTACTGTGAACAAAGGTTTTTCATGTGAGAAAAATTGTATGTGTAACATTTCAGTCTTAAACATTGATGATGAAAATAGTGAATGGGATCTCAAAAGAGAAACTGAAATGTCCATGTTTTAGACCTTAGAAACAAAGGCCATTGATATAATAGTATCAAANAGCAGGAGCAGAACTAAGCCAACAATGTGCACTGATCAAAAGCTCACCTATTTGTGATCAGGTTTGGATGACTTGTTACTACTTTTTTTCCTTCCAGCTTTTAAGAGGATCAGTTGCCAGTTACATTAGTTAGCATCTATAATATCAACATCTTAAAGTTGCAGGGCGGTAGAAGAAAGTACTTTATGGCAAATTGGTTCTGTTACATGTCTGTAGAAGAAAGTACTTTATGGCAAATTGGTTCTGTTACATGTCTGGGGTTTTCTATGGTCTTAAAAATTCAAGTTGTAAAAACTCCTGATGTGTGCAAGCAGTAGGTAGAACATTGCTGTGCTTCTTCTAGCACAACACTTCATCTAGCACAAATCCCAAACACAGCCCCTTACTGTCTGTTATGAAGAAAATTTAACTCCAGTCAGACATTTCAAATATAGCTTTTCCATTTGGAATGCTGCTATCATATAGGATGTGAGATTTTACTTACTTTAGCTGTGGTACTACTTCATATACATATTTTTTATAATAATAGTAATGTTTTTAATAAGGAAATATAGTGCAGTATAAATGTCCTACTGTTTTTATGTTACAGTCTTATGTGTTAGCAGAGAATGAAAGAACAGTAAATTGATAACTTTAAGCAAAGGAGTAGGGTTTAAAGAATGTTTTGGAACCTTGTTAAAGTTGCTATTGAAATAAATATTTACTTCCTTTCAAACACTGAAAAAAGATCCAATATTTAAAAGAAAAAATGTACATCAAACGCTGTAAAATTACTGCAACAGGTACCTGCTGGTAATTTTTTCATATGCCTCCATTATTCTAGTCTGAACTGATCATCCATTTTGTAAATGCAGAATCTGTGTGGGCTAGTCTGTTCCTGAAAGCAAATATATTGTTTTGTCTTACACAAACACTGCTGAAGTATGTTTTTTACCTCTTGAAGCTGAAGAGGAAATCTGTTTTGTGGCTCTTCAGGATTTTTCCTCTGTTCAAGTAGTGCTACAAGGTCACTTCAAAGTAGTCATCAATGTAATTTGTAACAACTCATCTAATTTTTGAAAATTTCTTATAAAATATTAACACAAGACATAATACTCTGCCTTGATCCTTTTGCAATGAACCTAATGACTATACAGGAGATAATACAGCTCGTCATGGAACAATTCAGGTTTTGGTGGTACCTAAGTACACAAGAAATTCCTTGAACTTCAGAGCTAAGAAAGCTTTTAGCACATCTTTGTCTTCTGCTTAGCTGTGAGCTCTGATATGAGGTTTTGCCGATGGGTATAATGACAGAAATTTTGTCTTCTATGGATTTTCAGATCTCTTATGGCATGAGCATAAGGCACAGCCTTTGCCTCAGTTTGAACATGTCCTTCTATCCAGCTCTACGTATTCTTCAAACTCCTAAGATCTTGTTTTTGACATAGCCTCCTCTTTCAAACTGAGTTTAAGTAAAGCTTTGAGTTCAGTAGTTATTAGGGAATAAGACTGCACAAGGTAAATAATCACCTTGCCTTGATTCCCTATGAAGTGCTTGGAAATTACATGGCCCTATGGGTCATGTATGTCTCCTCACATAGGAGAAGGCCAGTTAGAGCAACAAGGACATACAAGTGACCTTCTCCAGAGCCTGTGTGCTCCAAGCAGAGTGAATGTGAGTTTTCTGGACCAGTTAGCTCAGTGACAAGGTTTTCCTCCTCTTCAGGATTGTGCTTTGAATGGTTTTATACCTCCTTTGCAACATCATAGATTTTGGTGGCTTTCTCCCTTGTTTCTCAAGCTTCCCACTTATCATCAGAAAACTTTAAAACATGTTTCTATATAGAGGAGTGTGGTAATGAAATAAATTTATGTTGAAAAAGCTCTTACTTGCTGAGTTGCAGCTATATAGCCTAGAGCATGTTTGACCTCAATCACCTTCTTTCCTGTTTTGTTTTTCACTCACATTGAGCAAACAAAATAAACAGGTGACACTTTCATATAATGCAAATGCAGAGGATATACTCTAATAGTGAAGAAATCTGTTTCATAAATGTATGTTTCATATTTTTATTAGAATACATACATACATATGTGTATGTGTTTTATTAGTTTTAATAAAACACATGTGTTTCATTAAAACTAATTGAAAATATGCCTTCCATTTTCATCTTAAATAGCTTGTTAGTAGCATCAGTATATAAACATTTTCAGGAGCACAAAGAATCAATTGCAGATATGTTCACTTGATAGATTTAGATTTCCTATTAAGAGTAGAACCACCAATTTTTTTTGTGGTTGCCACAGATTATTATGTGGGTTTTTTTAACTGTTACATATCCGTGGTTTGGGATTGTGAGTCAGAAGAAAAATACTACAGACTGGGAGGAAACCATGCCATCCCTCTTTCATTTCAAGAAATGTAGCAACTCACAGTTCTGTCACTCATGTTCTTTAAAGAATACAAGAAGGAGACAATTCTTCTGTCGCTTTCCCTAGATATGAAGTCATGGTTTTGTTCCAACAGGATGAATTTAGAACAAGTGACAACTGTAGCAAAACCTTCTGAGATCATAATCCTGCTACTGAGGTAAGGAGTGGGTAGCACAAAGGTAAATTACTGTCACCCACGACTTGTTCTACTACCAGAAATGTATACCTTGGCATACATAGAATAATTGCACACCATTTGCTCACTAATCACTGGTTCCAAGCTGATAGACCATCTACTGATGAGAGAAACTGTTTATTGTCTATGTCAACCCAGCAAGAGGGAATTAGGTCTTCTTCACCTGGTTCTTTTTACCCAAGGAAAATTAACTGAAGCAATGTTTAATGCAATATTAAAAGAAAAATTATAAATTGTTCAGTAATAATTGTTCAATAATAAGAAGAATGAACATGTTTCTCAGAAGTTAAAAGAAATCTAGTGTTAGTTTGGAATAAGTTATTTCTCTGTCATTTATTGAGGAAAAAACTGATGGGTAGCAGAAAACCAGAAAAAGCCCTTTTGTTTCTGAAAGAGAACAGTGTAATACTTCTTTTACCAGCAATGAATTCTTAATCTCTTTTTTCTTTTATACTGGGAATATTGTTTCAGATTGTATAGCCTTAGGCTGCTCCTTATCTTCTTGCTTTAAATATTTATTTTTATGATTGAGTCAAAGTAGACTTTGGAAGAAATATAATTTTTTCTGTGTAACTGTAAAATTCTATCTCAGTTCCATAGATACCATATACTGTAAATGCTTAACTTTATATATAAATAAGAAAGAAGATATAATTAAGATCATGTTTTATGTTGTGTCCCAGCATGATGCAAGACAGTGCTTTTTTTGTTTTGGTAATTTTCAGACCCGGGAGTCTGCATTCTCAGTGAAGCACATCCAGTGAATTTGTCATGTTGCCTAAAATAATCAACATATTTAAGTGGGCAGGTTATCTGCAGATTTCTAAGTTATCCAAGTACTTTGCCAGATACCAGAAATCACAGCATATTTTTCTAGATAAATGTCTTCACATGTGAAACTTAAAACACTGATGTTTGGTGGCTCTATTGCCACCTGACATTTGCTGTTTCTGAAACTCTCTTCTTACTCATGATAGTATTTAGATATTTCTTTAATGGAAACCTCAGCTTTCCAGAAAATCCTAAACTTTGCAAAAATAAACACTTTTAAGTTCAAGCATATAAATCATATTTCTGATGGGTTCTGCCTTACTGAACTGTTTTGCTTTAGTTTCAAGTTGCTTGTGATTTACACCATGTAGCAGACAAAGGAGTTACAAAATTTAAAAGTAATTTAAAATTTATGCCATTTTTAGGAAAGTGTCAGTATTGAAGTCATTAACAACTGTGTTGTGCACTCCTGTAAGATTTGCTAACTAATGTAGAGCAGAATTATAAACCCTGAAATGAGGGGTTCATAATGTAAGCACTGACACTAAAAGAACTGTAGCACAGGAGTGGTGTCACTGTAATTAGCTTAGTGCTAGTACAAATCATGTTTTATTATTCTTTCAGCCTCTGCAAGAAGAGATGGTTTATTTCTTTCAGGTATAATTGCGTTTGTCACATTTTTTGATATTGCAGAAATTATACGTGCATGAAAAGGCAAGATGACTTTCAGAGCACTTAACATCATGTTGTTTGGAATATCATTAGAGGGGAGAAATGATGGAAAAAAATGGAAAATAAAAACAAAGCTTTCAAGTTTTCAGATATTTTCCTTTTTTTGTTTTTTTTTAAAGGTTTCCTTTTCAGAAGAATAGGATGATGGGTATAGAAAAAGCATTATCTCATGAATATACCAGAAGGATGACATACCGGGAGGAGGGAATCTCTACAGATCCTCTCATGATTGTTCCCTCAATGAAGAGATAAAATTCTATTTTTTTCCCCCCAGGATCAGATTGCCAGAACATGCCATGTCTCTGCAAGGCTGTGTTTTGTTAGGCTCAGGCTGAAGCTCACAGACCAAGTGCATGGAGTCAGTTGTGTCTGCAGGAGCAGAGCTAGGTGCATCAGTGCTCCCCAGGGCTGAATTTGTCCTCTTAGTCTGAGAGTTGACTCAGACAGCTCTAGAGTGAAACTGCAGAGATTTCCTTCACATTCAAGATTTGGGATATGTTAGCTGGGAAAGGAATGATGATGGGGCAACCAATGTGTTCGTCTGCTGCCAGTAGAAAATGATTGCCTATGTTTCTGTGTCTAATTTTAATTTTTCAAATATAAAGAAGTCTCAGACAAATGAGTTCAGAGGAGGACTGCCAGGATCACTGGTGGCTGGAGCATGTGCTCTGTGTGGAGAAGCTGAGGGAGCTGGACTGAATAAGTCAGGAGGAAGACTTATCTCTGGAGGACCTAAGAGCTGCCTCCCTACTATCTTCAGGGAAGGTGTTGAGGAAACATCTTCAGGGAAGGTGTTGAGGAAACACTTAAAAATGGTGCATCTTGGGGGAGGGAGCAGGTGTAGCTTGGAACAAGGAATGTTCAGACTGGATGAAAGGAGAAACTTTATCAGCATGGGAGCATTGGAGCCAAGGAGCAGAATGCCTAGAGATGCTGTACAGATAGATGGCATTCAAATTGTACTTGGCTGCAGCCCATTAAAACATAGTATTATCTTTAAAATGTGTTGTGGGTTTCTTTTAGCAGACTTTAATTCTTTTAATCTCTAGTAATCTAGTTGCAATAGCTCTGAGTTCAATAAGGGATAGCCAACTGAGGACTCAGATTTATTCTTTTAATCTCTAGTAATCTAGTTGCAATAGCTCTGAGTTCAATAAGGGATAGCCAACTGAGGACTCAGATTTCTGAGTGGGTTGAGTAATTTCCCTGTTCTTATATATCTTTGTTGTTAGCACTATGCAAGTAGTGAATTTGGAATTGATTTAGGTATACCAAGAAGTGGTCACAGGTGTAGAAATACTGTTAGTTCTGTCCAGGATACCCTGTTACAAGGATTTTACATTATACAGAAACCCAGCATTTAAACCTAAGAAATTAACAAAAGGGGGAAAACCACATTTATTTCCTTCTCCCACTATGAAAAAGTGGCATTCAAAACAGATAGAGGAATTAATAAAAGTGATACCATTATAAGAGCTATTCATGTAACAGACTGGGTTGCTTTCATGTAAGAGCTGGCAAGAGAAAGCCGCCAAACAAATGACTTTTAATATTCATATTAAAAGTAGATATTCATTGCAATGAAGAAACAAGAGTATTTTTAAACAATATGTCATTTATATGCATTTTTGAAGTAGTAAGAATGCTGTAATCTCAAAAGACCTTTTTAGTCAGACAAATTAATGCTAATTACAGGAGGCATCTATTCGTTTTAACTTTCTATTGCAAATGGTATCATAAGAGATGAATTAATTGGTAGCAGAAATATTGATAGCTATGTTCTGGGGAAGGAGACTCAAAAATAGCTAATAAGAAAGCAGTTTGACTTTTTATCTGTCACTAAGGAATGTGATCCATCATTGAAGTACTCTGGAAACTAAAAAATTCGGTGAATGCATTGTCCTTTCATGCTTGTTATCTTTTCCTAAAGGTACTACTGGAACAACAGTGGGGCAGTCCCTTCATTCCAGTCAGAGAGGGATGGAAAAGAAGAGAAGCGATTCCCCTAGAAAGGATTCCCACTTAGCTCTATGTCTTCTGCATTCTCCCAAAACCCACTTGTGAGCAGACTGTAAGGTGCACTGTTTTAGAGGGAGGCACTCAGTAAAAGAACATTTTTTTAGCGAAGAGCACTTAATGTTGCTTGTAGATTGGTGTTAAAATGTTCCCTCGTCCTTGTAAGACCAGAAGCTTCCTTAAAGAATTAGATAAAAGGGCTTTTCCAGGGTAAATAATTTAATTCTAAATGTTCGCATGTAAAATAGGTTCTCTGAGAGCACCATTTTGTTTGTTTGTTTGTTTTTAAATTAGTAAGCTGACAATTTCTACTGTAAAGTTAGTGAAATGGGAACACCCAAGAAAAGGTAGTTATTGCACTCTTGGGACTATCACCTAAATATAGAACCTGATCAAAAACATTGAAAGCCATTGGAAAAGCCTCTGCTGCTCAGCTGTTTCTCTGATAATGTCTGTTTGAACATGCTAGCTCTCTTTACCTACATATCTTCTTACACCTTGGAACCAGGGGTTTTATTCCCTGGTATTTGCACTTTTTCTGAAAGCAGAACCTCACAGGTCCACTTTTCTTTTCAGGTTTCTGTATAGAATTAAAGTCACTATGGAAAAAGATACTCAAAACCAAATGTTTGTTGCATGAAGAACGCACATATGTGCACACACGTAGGAGGACCTTTTAAGATGAGCGATTCACGTGACATAGCAACTGACAAAATGTGGCTAATTTTACCATCATCAACATGGGAAAGATTTGTGTTGCATAGAGACAGTATGCAAAAATTGCACAAACTGCAATAAACATATCATCTTAAGAAAACTAGTTTATTCTTGTGTAGTACTGTCCTGTACAAAAACAAACAAAGAAAATCACACTAGACTGTGTAACATTAGGCTTTTATAAAAAGATCACTTTTTTCACAATGGAAATATGCTCCTAAGTGTTTATTGTAAACTGTGTCCTTATGTTTAGAAAGCTGGATTATTCTCAGCTCCCTTGTCTTATCCCCCCCTCAAAACGGCATCTATATGGCATTTTCCTGTGGAAGAAAATAAACATCAGTTTTGCTTACAGTTTAATTTCCTGGTAAAGGATGAGGGGATCTAGTGATGGAGTGTAGAACAAGCCACTTAATGCATTTAAGAAAGGCATCTGAGCCATATTACAACTGCTACAACCAGCTTGGAACAGAGTACAGAGAGTTGTAGAGGTTATCTTTAATTCAAGTTACTGTGTTTTATACCAGCAGCACTTATGCTTGGTCTGTTCTGGCAGTCACTGTTAGCTTCAGTTGTTACTTGAAGAATTCTTTAGCACTTTGGCCGTAATGGCTTCAGTGTTGCTAAGGGTCAAGCTTCAGTTTCAAATAGTTTGTGTTTATTCCCCAGTGTGCTAGTTTGACTGCTCTCAGTGTATGCTGTTGTAAAGGTGGTGTTTGTATGTG